CTCATTAAATTTGAGAACTCAATTCTTTAGTGCTTTAATTTACATTCTTTGCATTGCTATGAGGAAATTTGATACTACAACACTAAAATCATCAGGCACAACAATAAAATAAAAAATAATAATTTTTTAACTGTTAAGCATTGTGGCGCTCAAGAGTGTAAGCATTATGGAACTTTGGCAATTCAAATCAATACAAGGAGGGACCATTAGGTGCTCCTGTGACTAGTACGCCACTGCCAAATACATTATTATACATATCAAGATTTCAACATGCAAATAAAATAAAACAAAATCAAATTCAAGATCGTTATACATATCAAAACAACAGATAACATATAATTTAAAATTGTGTAACCTCTCAACGAGCTTTAAGTTTTTTAATCTTTAGCCAAATTAAGCTACAACTTACTCAGAATGATCCAAACCAACAGTTACTCTGCTATGAACTATGTCCACTCCTCGGTAAGGTTTCAATCTCTAATCATTAACTTTAAAATTTAGTCATTTTTTCTTATCTCGAATCTCTATAGCTCCATAGGGGTATACCTTTACTATAGTGAATGGTTTATAACACTTAGATTTTAACTTCTTAAGAAATAATTTCAATCTTGAATTTTATAAATGCATTTCTTGTACAAGCATAAATTCTTTCTTAATTAGCTTATGATCATGTCATCATTTAGTTTGCTCTTTATAAATTACGGCATTCTCATAAGTCTCATATTTTAATTCCTCTAGCCTTAGTTGTAATAATCTCTTCTCTTTGCATCATTTAATTTGTAGTTTAACTCCTCAACAACCCAAAATACTATATACTATAGTTCTGCTAGCAAAGGATAAGATTTTATAAATACAAACTTATAGGGAGACATTCCTATTAGAGTTTTAAAAGCAATTTTGTAAGCCCATAAAGCATCATCTAATCTTAAAGACCAATCTTTCATATTAGGATTTATAGTTTTCTAAAAGATTTTCTTGATTTCCCTATTAGAAATCTCTACTTGTCCACTAGTCTTAGGTTGCTAAGTAGTTGCTTCCCTATGTTGGATCCAAAATTTTAATTCTTTTATGACAAAAGTGACTTCCCCCATAACTAAAGAGTAATGTATGTATTTTAAATATAGAAAAAAAATTCTTTTAGAATTTTATGATAATCAAAGCATCATCCTTAGGTGATAACACTCCTTCAATTCACTTGGAGATATAATTGACTACTACCATGATATATTAGTTTCCAAAAGATTGAAAAAATGGTCCTGTGTTTAATTAAAAAAGGATCGAGTTTTGAAAAAGATTATTTTTCTTTGACAGAATTTACTTTTTCAGAATTTTAGTTTTGGAATCAAACACTTCATGACTTATAATATATCATCTTGGAGGTGAGCATATCATTCCCTAATGGGATAGGATTACAAAATATTGAGCTTACCCCAATTATCGTAATAAGATTCAGGAAAGAATCCTATATGACTCCAAAGGATTAAAATGATGTTTGTTCTTGTATTTGATTATGATGATATGGGTAAATAATCATTAATTTTATAATCAAAATTATAATTATAGAACGACATATTTTTTCGTGGAAAGAGAATATTACCTATTATCAATCAATTGAATATGATAATAATGATCATTAAATTTGATTTTTCCAAAAATATTTAATTGAATTTTGAAAACTAAATTTTTAAAAATTTGATCTAGGTTTTTAAATCTCATATTAGCACAAGCCCTCAAAATTAATTACATCATAGGAAACCTAAGTTTCCTACAAATACTCTCAATTAAGATAAGGGTAAAATTTTTTCATTTTAAATTTTTAAAGATTGATGTCAAAAGGATGAGGATTGAAAATTCAACTGGGATTGGATCAAAATTGAACACTTATTTTTGGAGGTCAAAGGAAGAAAAATAGGAGGTGTTTGAGATGTTAGAATAATTCAAAAATATCTCAGCCTATCCTAAGTGTTGTGCTTAAATTTTGGGATTGAAGGAGATTTGATTATAGTTATTAATCTTATTAGAAAGTTGAGATTCAATTTCCAGATGTTGATATCCTTTAGTATGAACCTGCCTCAGAACCTAAATCTAAATTTGGCACTGAAAGTCAGTAGCCCCTACCTAGCTAACGCAATGCAAATTTTGGCTTATCCCGGTCATGATTAGTGAGCAACTAACCACCTAGTCGAATAAAATCTATGAGTCCAATCACTTACGAAAGAGTGGTAGGGATATTGTTTAGTTAAGTATGAGGAATTGGGGTCAATATCTAAAGTAGATCCAAATTGACCCCTTAACTGATGTTGGGTAATTTGATATTTAAAGTAAATGAAATTAAATTTTAGATACAAATAAATTTATTTCTAATACAATACATGCTAGTTGACTCGATAACTTCTTAAATCAGAATAAAGCAGTTTTAGAAAAGGCTTAAAATAAATTTTAGCCTAGAGATTGCACAACTTCTCCTTGATAGGACTACACCATAATACGTCAGGTGGCCTGTTAGAACCCGTAGATGGGGAGTTGCCTAACAAGGAAGATAAGCAATTTAATATGATGCATAAAAAACTCTTGGCGATCCGGAACTTACTTCTTAAGTCATTAAGTTTTTATATGAGCTTAAATATTTTAAATTTAATTAAAGTAAAAAAAGTTTTATTCATATCCTCATGAGCCTTCGATCAGGTTCTAAGCTAAATCAAAATATGACATAAAATTGCAATTTTTTTTTTTAAAGTAGGCAATCCTAATCATAATCAAAGTAATTAATCAATCAAATCAAATCAAATTAATTAAATAAATTTAACAGTCCATATGACAAGTGCCACTTAATATTAGAACCTATGGTATATAGAAAAAGTAAAGTGGGCGGGTACTACTAACAATAAGCCTTAATTTCTAGTCCTAAGACACAAGTGATTTTGAGAATGAGATTCTCCTCATTCTTCACTTATTTGTCCTTCTATAGGCTCCTTGGATCTGTTGGGTCTGGATATCCAAATGAAAAGAAATCCCTCCCTCAAAGAGGGTGTTGTCTTTTCTCTTTAGATATTTTAAAACTATCCAAATTTGAATCTCTAAATGGATAGAACTCTCCTCGGAGGATGTTCCTTCCTTTTTGTATTCTAAATTGGATGTGTAACATCCCATTTCAAATCACTTTAACATTACAACTCTTCATTCAAATCAAATTACATTTAAAAATATAAAATTATAGACTCAAACATCCTGTAAGATTATCCTAAGTGGTTATAATTTGAAATTACGTCTCAAGCAGTTATATATTAAAATTAAAAGTACTTAAACTAGCCACATTTGGCCATGCTCTTTTGATTTAAAGGGGAACTTAGCATATTAAATCACGTGTAGAAATTTGATTAGTTTAAATTTAATTTTGCCCACTTTAATTTTAGTGCCTTATAAGAGCATGACCACATGCATAATATTATGTTAGCATCCAGATCATTCCTAATATAAGGGTTATCTAACAGTCATTAAATTAATTAATATATTACACAAATTAAAAAAACAATCATATAAATCAAGAAAATTAACCAGCATGCACTGAAATCTCAAAAAACTTGACACACAATAATAGGAAAGTAAAGTACTGGCCTAGTCTAAAATTAGAGTTGGTTTTCTTAGAAAATTATCTAAAGTGTGCTAGGTAGATTGTGTGGTTTGGATGTGTCTTAATGTGCTAAAATAAATTGATGTTTGGCATTATGTTGTAATTTTTAATTGAGTTGTAGACTAGTGTATAAGCTAGGGACATAGAAATACAAAAGAATATCATCTTAAATTTGATTTTATTTTAACACAATATTATTACATGTCCATATATATATATATATTATAGGTACCTAGCAGGTTTTAGAAAGGGAACTCAACCAGTCAGATCGCCCATCTAAACCACTTGTCTGTAGAGAACATAACTTGTCCAAATCAAGGAGTCATCCATCATGAGACTCTTATAGATTATTACAAGCTCAAGCATGCGTGTGTGTGTGTGTGTCAGAGAGAGAGAGAGAGAGAGTGGGTTTCTTAGAACAAACCATCATCCAAGCCATCAAGCCACCATTGATATCCCATGATACAACTATAGGAAATGCACACTTTAATGGTCCATGAATATGGCCCCCAAACTCGAATAATCCTTAGCTCATGATTATTATCCTTATCCCCTAAGGGGATTTGCCCTTCACACCCAATGGTCGAAGTAGAGCTTCTAGGGACTCACCCCAAATCCAAAGGACACGCCCAATGCACTCACTTGTGAAACTCTCATAAGGGACTCACCTTGAAACCAAGGATCATTATAAAGACATACAACCATATAGATACCTATCAATATATGTCGTATATCATGTACATTTTGTAATGGGTCAAAAATAATTATTATACTTCTTAATTTTTATTATATATAGCCTTCCTTGTAGCCTTTCAAACTCTATAAATAATTGGTGAAGATGAACAATTTAGATTTTTTTTTTATATTTCTTGGATCTTTTGATATTTTTTAATGCTATTTTGCACTTGCATTTATCTCTCATTCTCTATACTCACACAAATTCTCTAAGTTCTTTGAGTTTTTCCAAGAAGATTTGTTGTTAGCAAGATCCAGTCTTATCCACAGATAAATTGGATTCAATAATTACTTCATAAAATTCTCTGCCACCTGACCTTCTTTAAAAAATGATTCTAAAAATCTTGTTAACATTTCTTTCTTTCTTTCTTTTTTTCTTTAAATTGAGACTTTGTTTGCTTAAACTTTCTTATTGTTTTGTAAAGCAGTTTTTCAGTACAAAAATTTATAGCTCAAAAATTTTTTATAGTAAAAATTAGTTTAAAGAATAATAAGAAAACTGTCCCAAATGAAGCTTGAGTTTCAAACCATCATTTTGATATAGGCAAAATTCAGTTTTTTAAAATTTTAAAAATAATATTTGCTGTCACCCATTCCTAATTTAAATCTTTCCCCCATTTATTTCTAAGAAGTAACGTAAGCGGAATCATCTAATTGAAAAAGGACCGTGATTATCTTGCCTTGATTGCAATTTCCCCACTACAAATCCATTTCAAATTTCGAAGCAGAGTTGTACAAGAGACTGAGAGGAGAATCCCCTGCTAATTGAATCCTATAGAACACGACGGAGGGAGAGGTAAGGAAGTCTAATCTCATCGCTACCTTCTGTGTCCGAGTGTTTTTTTAGGTTTTTTGTGAGGCGATCGGAGCAAAATGGACTGCTTCTTGGGGTGCTTCGGTATTAAAGATTGCAGCTGGAGCAAATCGCTTCCGTTCTCCAGGTTCTTTTTGTGGAAAAAGAGGGTAGGATAAATCTTTCTTTCCTGTAAGTTACATAAAATTGATTCAATTTCGGGATTTTTGTTCCATTGAATGAACTTTTTCTTGTTTTGAAATCTTTAGGAACCGCCGGTGCCCAAGAATCAGTATTCTTCTTTGGTTTCATCTAAAGGTAATAGAGCAGTCTTTAACGCTAACATCTTCAAGATCTTTTCAGGGATATTGATCATATCCGAGTAGTGTTGGTTAAACTGATAAATGCTTCCCTTTCAATTTTTCTGATTGAAAGAGAAAGCCACTCCATCTAAGAAAGAGGGAGAGGAGATTTTTCAAGAGAAATTTGATGGGGATGATTGTGTTCACCAGAAACAAAGGAAAGAGGTGAGTGGCAGACATTGTATTGATGCTCTACATAGCTGGACTATACTTCAATCTTGACTACGATTGGTTTTGTGTACCTTTATGTAGGATGTAATGGTTTTGAAATCTATTTGTCAGTTGGAATTGAAAATTTCTGTCATCATCTATGAATGTATATTTTATAAATGCATGGTTGAAATGCTTGTAAACTTAATTTTTTTCAAAATGAAAACAATTGCTCCAGAAAGCGCTTCGACAACAGATAGCCCTAGAAATTTTTTAAATTTTAATCTGTAGAAGGCTGTTATGATAGCAAACATGTGAATTGGAACATAACGAAGTGAAATAAATGCAACTTGTATGTATTAATAAAAACAGCATCGATTTGGATTAGTAAACCTTATTATGATAAACAAGTTGCGACATAAAAATGTTATTCTATGTTATTTTTTTTTTATTTTTTTTTTATTTTTTTTTATTTTTTTGTTTTTCAGTCTGTTTCCTAGTAGCATTCAGCTTCATTAATGAGTTTTATTGTCGACAGTATGTGCCTAAGTGTCTGAAGTGTTGTTCACTATTGAGTTGATGATAGCAAATCTTATTTGGTGTCATCTAATAGTTTATTTAGTATTTTCAAGAGATTCAGTTTAGTAACCATGAAGGTTATGATCACGTTCGCCAGGCTCACTAGAAGGACTATCTGCTTGTAGATATCTTCATGTTGATTACTTTAGCAATTTCAAGAAGGCAAAATAAAAAATCCAAGATTTACAAATCTAATGTGTATATTCCGAGTTCTTACATCTAAACTGATTATATTTAGTTTACCTAGTATTTAAGGATGATGAACATATCTTAATTTATTTGGCCAATTAAATATTCATATATTGTTTAATTTATTTCATATGTAATTATTGATCATGCACATAATTCATTCACCATTATGATTTTAATCACTAATGTGTTTATGACATCCTAATTTTTTCTAATCACTCCAATAAATATGCTAATTATAATTAGTTTTGCTAGCTTTTATTAATTTCCTAATTGTATATTTATTTGCTTAACTAATGAATTTATGTTAATTGATATGTCATTAAGTATTCTTTTATGAGGTCTTATTTTTCTAAGCAAACTTATTTAATCGTAAAATTTATATTAAATTTATTGATGTGTCAGATATGATTTATTCTTTGGTAAAGAAACGAGCTTAATTTTTATTTCATTGTATTCATTAAGTCACTCACATGCAGTTTGATATAAAATTATCTATTTATATTATAATTTTATTAAGTTATGATTCCACTTATTTATGAAGCTATTATTACGACTGGTTTAAAGAGCTATTTAAAGGATTTCTAAGAGCCTTTTTCTTACATTTAGTGTGTTATTTTGGCCTTCTTCATGTAATTTCATTCCTTATATATAGAAGATGAAATAAGGAAAAAAAAAACCAAGATAGCTTCATTGTGAAACCCAAGGTAAAATTATTTGAATCTTGGTTTTGGGTTTGCCTAGCCCAGAGGGATAGGTGTACGGTTGTGCACTTATAGTGTAGGAGAGCATGGTTGAGGTTATTATGGTGTTAAGGAGAAGGTTTAACCACGACAATGGGGAAAGTTAGTAGAATCATATGTAAAGGGTGCTTAGGTATGAATATTGGTCGGTTGGGTTCCAAACCTCATAAAATTCATGTCTATTGATCTTTCCTTAAATCTACATTCATTTCTTATTTTATTATCCTCCTTGCATTATGTTTTTGTTTTGATTCTTTTGTTTAACTCTGATATGCCATTGTGACTCAATAGATCTAATAGTAGTGATATATAGTTTAATTACTCTCATAAGTAGCATACACCTTATATCATCTAGACACTTGTGTACTTTGATGTATAGTAATTATATAATCTAAGATTGTGTATTTGATTTAATCAATTATATTGAGCTCTACTCATACTCTTAATTTATCTTATAACTACACACATTAATCACTTGTGTGGTGTCACTTATAGGTTGGTCTATTTAAGTGCAAGCTTAATTACTTATTTTACTTTTGGAGTTAACTTATCTACATTGTGCTCAATATTGATAAATATATTTATTTCATTACACATATTGACAACCGTTGATACAAGTTTATGTGCTTGACAATTCATTTTATTATTTTTCAAACTTGTTTGTGGCACGTTTTAAACAGGCAAAACTCCGCAGGACTTGGGGTGCTATACTTGACAATATTGATGAATTCCTTCAAGCATCAGATCAACACTATGTAGTTTCTGATGCATCTAAAAAGAACTGGGATAAAAGACATGATGAGAGTTCTCATCCTCTTTCAAAAGTTCCTGAAACTTCAACTATCTCAGAAGAGAAATCCAAAAGGTATACCTTGAAACTATTCTAGATATTTGCACGTTAAGATTCTTCATACCAATCAGTTTCAACTTCATGAACTATGAGTTCTTGATCAACAAAATCATTAATTTTTTACAGTTTATTTAGCTGCCAACTTGAATATCATGATGATAAATCAAGGAAATCATTGTTGTTTGAGGAGTTTAAACATCCTAGAGTTGAAAAAGAGTTGGAATCTATCACATTGGATATGTCCCCTCAGATTGAAAATAAGATGCAAGATTCGCCTTATCCTACACCATTGAACTTGGTAGATGGAATGCAAACGCCAGGAACTATATATCCACCAAAATCAGACTATTTTAGGGCAAGGATGCTTAGAGCACAATTTGTTTATCCAATTCCAGATCTCTTTGAGAGTACATTTGGATTGAAGGTGGTGAGTGAGGACAGTGAGAATACAGTAAAGATGTATGACAGTCCTACTGTGGATAGGCCTATTATTGGAGCTATTGCAGGCCCCTGGGATGAAGATTTGCTTTCTTTCCTTTCACCAAAATCGTGCGAAGGCAATGAAATTCCGAATTCCACTGCAAATTACAATAAGGTGTATTCTCTTTCTATATATATATATATATATATATATATATATGAATTTTTTTAATAAAAGCAAAGGCACACTTCATTTAAAATATCAAATACATTTTTATTTCACATCAAAATATAAACAAATAAAAAATGGTTCAAAACGATCCATGTGAAGTGAAGAAAATCAAAATAGAATTCTTTTCATATGAGTATTTCAGAATTTGAACCTTTTACCTTTCTTGCAGGAAACTTGATGGGAAGATTGATTGAACTCAAAGCCGAGTAGATCTGAGAAGCTGGCTGCATTCTCAATCATCTTTGGCTTAAAAAATGCAAATTTTTACCATTGCATGGTTTGTGAACCATAAGTTTTGTATGTTTCATATCTGCTTTTACTTTGCGTTAAAGACACTAATGGGAGATCTAAATGAGATTTTTTTTACTTTGTAATGCTCCAAACCATTTCACAAGCTGCTGCTCCATAGTGGATATTAGAAGATGCAGATTCTTGCCTCTTCGTTACTCTTCCCTAATGTCTACTTTGCCTGTTTTTCTTATTGCAAACAGATCCTTTTGTTCTGGTTGATTCTTCTGCTAGATGACATTATGAATAATTCAAAATTTTCATTTTACCGTTACAATGCGTTGGCAAATCTTTCAATTAAACTTGTGTCTGATTGGCTATTGTGTAAATGGGGCTATTTGGTTGCAAGTATTTAGAAATTAGTGTAATCTATAGTGTAAATCAAACGCAGCGTATTTGCAATAGTCCTCTCTCTTATGAGAGTTCATTGGGGTTGGCAGTGATAGGATCTTGCAAGCAGGAGCTTGTAGCTTTATTTTTGCTTCACACAGCTTAGTCGACCCATGTGGAAGCACATGCGTTTCCCTCTGAAAATAAGTATTATTTATTCTGTGTGGTCGTTGGACGGCGTTCGAAGACAAATGAAAACGCGACACATCACTTTTTTTGTTGTGTATCTGTCATGTGCACCGGGTATTGTGGCACGCTCTCATTCATCTCTGGATGGTCCGGTGATCGCACAATAATTTCTTGAAAAAAAGTGCACTATACAGGTAGGAAAGGCCAAATGCATTTTATACAGAAAGGTTAGAATGCCAAAAATCAACCGGTAGTTTAAGTAAAATCTTCCTCACCCTGATGACTATATTGATTATCCAACATGTGCTCATGGATAAACACATTACATTATTGGAGCTTAAGAAGATGGAATTCTTTATGTCCAAAGCTCTATTTATCTTGATTACAGATACATGAAAAGCATAGCCAAACTATTACCAATATATATTTATAAGAATAATATTTAATATAATATATAAATAAATTTATAATATTAAAAATTTATATTATTAATTCTTATAATATACATTATAATATATTATCCTAATTTGCAGCCCAACTAGCTCAATTAAGCTCAAATTCACATTTAAATAATTCATAAAATTTTTTTAGTCCCACATCATAAGAGGAGTTTGAGATAATTGTTTTTAACCCTTTTATATAATGTGAAGTACACATTTTTTATCAAACACTTTCTGTGAGATATTTGAGATAACATACATATATTATGGTATAATTAATCATCATCTTTAATAAACTAAATATCTTATTTTAAAATTTAATTAAAAGAAAATTAAATTTTTTTAATAGAATCGGCCGGTTCTTTCCAACCCGGAACGGTTCAGTGGTTCATTAGTTGAACCGCCAGTTTTTGCCGATTCAAGCTGATTCAATGCATAGCTGATTTTATAAATTGAATCGGACCAGCCATCCGACCGGTTTCTATTTAGGGGCCAGCTCTTATATGCATTTAGACATGTGAGTTATGAAATGTTTCTATTTTTTATTTTTTGCTTGATGGAAGTTAAGGCTACGCTTCTAGATGAGTTTATTTTTGCTTCCACAAAGCTTAGTCGACGCATGTGGAAGCAAATGCGTTTCCCTCTGAAAATAAGTGCATTACAAAGGTAAGAAAGGCCAAATGCATTTCATAAAGAAATGTTTCAGAACGCCAAAAATTAAAGGGCATGTGGTCTGTTGGTTTTAGGAAAATCTTTGTCATCCTGAAAACTTTATTGACTATCCAGCATGTGCTCATTGATAAACACATTAAGATTATTGGAGCTTCAGAAGTTGAAGCTCATTATGTCCAAAGCTCTATTTATTTTGCTAACAAATACAAGAAAAGCATAGTCAAACTATTACCAATATATGCTTCTCTTTGGGTTATCTCAATTGAACCACATGAGAGCATTAATTTAATCTAGATTTGGATAGTTGAATGTAAAAATACTAAGTGATTTGTCCCGCCTCTTCGGTTTTCAATTTTTACTTGAAAATATATTTGAATATCATACTTAATTTTAATTCCTTTTTTATTATGAAGGTTAAAGAGTTGGGTGACTCACAATCATTATTTTGCATATTGAAAGTGAGTTCTTGGTGGGCAATATTTGATGTTGAAAAACTTATGATTGAGTGAGGCTAATGCAAAGAACTCTCATAAAATAGAAGGCTTATAAAACACTAAAACTATTAAATTTAAGCTTCATTTATGACAGACAGCTTTTGTTAGGCTTTCTAAAGCAATTTTCTAGTATAAAATATCTAATTCAAAAAAAAATTATACTAGAAAGTTATTTTAGAAAACAATTAAAAAATTATCACAAATGAAGCATTAGACTTTATTTGTGACAACTTTCTTACTGCTTAATAAAATAATTTTCTAGTAAAAAAAAATGGAAAAAAAAATATTAAAAAGTTGCTATAAAAACTAATAAGAAAGCTATATCAAATGAAGCCTTTTGGAATAGCTTTAGACCACTACTTTTTTCCTGTATTTAAGAGATTTTCTAACTAAAAAAAAAGCATTACAAAACAGTAAAAAAGTCATCTCATATTCATAAGTTGAAAAATAGATGGATGTAAAAATATCAATTGATTTTCCTCCTATATATATACAAGTGATGTTCTAGACATAACATTAACACTCTTTAATCCACTCCTAAAAGATTTGCTAGTAAAAACCAAAAAACAAGAAAGCATTAGAGCACATCATGATCGTCTTGCATTTATCAACAATCATTCATAACACATATTTAAGCTGCATCAATCTATCATACAAGAACACTTAAAAATGTGTATCAAACTCATTGTACATATCTTATGATCATCTTAATGGAATCAATTAGATACTCCTAAGGATACAAAAATGTAGTTCACACTTTTAAAAATGGCAAATAAAACTTCCACCGCTGGGTCCCACATTCAAACTGACGTGTTACTTACTAATCACAGACATTCTACTGTACTAAAAATCAAATTTGGATAAATGCAACCATAATTAATTTACTTGTTGCCCTCTAATTATGTATGTCAAGGAGTGTAGTACTTAGAATCATCAGTGGAAGAGTTGCTTGGAGTCATTGGTCTTGACGAGGGACCCACTCGGTGATTTTGAAGGGTTACAAATGACTCCCTCATTGCAGACATTGCCTCAAAGAAACGAGTGCAAGATGCCAAAGCTACTGGGATTGGTCGAAGCATTTCCTTCAAACAAATTAGTCAAAAACATTCAGTACCCAGCCTTGCAAGTTGTACATAATGAAAAAAAAATTGTTGCATGGAATTGATTACAACAACAACATCGTCAAGCCTTTATCCCACTATGTGGGATCGGCTACATAAATCCATTTTCTCCATAGTGTTTTGTTAAGAGTCTGATTCTCATTTAAATCTAATAAAAAAGATCTTTTTTTAATATTTTCTAATGAAGACTTTTTTTGGTCTACCTTTACCTTTCTTAACATAGGTAAAAAATAATACATCTATTCTCCTAACAGAGTCATTAGAAGGCCGATATTTTATGTGACCAAATCATATAAGGAGACTCTCTAATCTTACTTTCTATTGGAGCTGCTCCAACATTTTCATGTTTATACTCGTTTCACATTTTGTCTACAGGAGTGAAGGCACCCATCCACCTAAGCATTCTCATCTCCGCAACACTAAACTTAATTTTATGCTTTTCTTTTAATGGCTAACATTCTGCGCCATAAAGCTTTACAAGTCTCACCACCATCTTATAGAATTATTCCTTTAAATTTGAGGGGTACTTTCTGAGATTATGAGCTTCTTCCAAATAATTCCCAGAAACGTTGGCATTTCCAACTTTCAAGGGGCAATAATATTAGAACGGGATGAGTAGCTATGGAGGAGAACTGATGGCAAAATTTTTGTTTCACTGGTCATAAGTTTAACATTTTTGTATTCTCTAATCTCTATATACTTCTTTAGTATACTTTCGTCTTCTATAACTATTTATTATGCTTCCAACATGACAAGTAGTACGTGTAAACCCAGACATTTTCTTATTCAGCATAAGAGATGTTCATTTCAACTTACCCCCCATACTGACGGTGCTTCCCTAAAATTCTGGCTCCATTGGAAATCAGCAACTGATGCAGTTAAAGCTCCATAGTCACTTGCTGCCTTCAGCAGCAATTCTGAAAATTGTTTCTAAATAAAAACATGCGAAAGACTTAGACTTGCTGAATTGAGATTCATGTACGGAATAACAAGAATTTTGAAATTACAGGGATAGTAAATGCCTGAAAAAACATTGAAATAACAATGGTGATTTTAATAATTTGGATAGCTCAATATCTAAATGTAATCAAAATAGAACAGAATGTCATATGAAATTATTATTTTAAAATGTCAATGAACCAAAACACTTGGTATTTCTTAATAACATTACATTATATGAAACCCGTGAATGAACCAAGCACACCATAATGCAACTTTCTCAATAAAATTGAGGGAAGATAGTATTACTATATATAGTATAGCTGACAGCAGAAATTTTATTCATTAATGGATGAGGGCCAAAAATACCATCAAAGAAAGAAATCCAAAAGCTTTCCACAATGAATGGAAAAGTTGGATTCCTGAATCCTAGCAGCATAGTAATATGTTCTTCAGTACATACTATATGATATTTAGATAGATTGCAAACAATACTTCTAAGCCAAAAATTTTGTAGTTGAATGTACAGGTTTTATCCTACAAAAAATAAAATGCTATCATCAATGACACTCAGACTTGCAGAAATTTGAAGAACAAATAGAGCATGTCGTAAAAGGCCTCTAAAGCCTGACCAAATCACATTAAATTCATCAATATTCTTCATTGAATGAAAATCTAGTTAGTCCAGCCAATATGGCCATTCTAACAAAAAGTTTGTAAGCCATATGACTCATTAATTTAATTTCCTTTAAATTAAGTTTTTTATCAAGTAAACTAATTGAAATTAGGAAGTTCTGTTCTGGCACCTCTTCTGACTTCTCAGGATCAATCTCAGTACTTATATGTCAGTCATGATGCCTTGCTTCCAAAGGCAAATTTCATTCCATATTGACAATAGTCCATGAAATAATTGGAATTTTATCAAAATAATTCACAAATTTATTTAGGCTTGTGACAGGGTTAATGATGATGATGATTTTTAAAAAAGTATGGCCTTAGGACTTTTTTTGAGTTTTGAATTGGATTTCTCCCATGATTTCTTTCAATTGCACTAAATAGCCATCATTCTAATTTATGATAATTCATATCTATTATAAGTTGGGCTTTAAACATCCTTTGCCCTTTTTTAAGCAAAGCATTAGAAAAAAAAATCATAAACTGAGATTCAGTTCAACATTTTGGCTTAAATTTGAAAAATGCATAACCTTTAAGCTCTAACATCCAGGCTTGAGGTAAAAACGGAAAAATGCAAAAACCGAAATTCCAACTCGGGACGCTAGGTATCCAACACAAACTGTAATTAAGAGCTATCAGCAAGATATAAAAAATAAGCGAACATAAGTGTTGATAAGATTTCCCTTAACAAAAACCATCCACTTATACAATATATGACCACGGTAAAACTGGCACTAATTTTACAAATAAAAACCAAGGTTTAAAAAGGTAATATTGGGAATAAAGGCATTTTTTCTTAGCGAGGCGAGGCTTAAGTCTCAAGCCAGATCAAGGCGAAAGCCTCAAAATAGAAAAATTAAAAAACCAAAAAAAATATAAATAACTCATAAAATGATAAAAAAATTAAGTAAATTAATAATTTAAATTATGAAAATAATGACTTGTTAGAAAATAAATGTTAATGGAACACAAGATTCAAAATAAATAGTCATAAAAATCACTCTTTCTCTATCAACTCAATTTTAGCCTGCCTAAATGATGTATCCATGCAATTCAATCATAGAAAAAAAAAAAATTTTTGATATGAAGGCAATTCAATCATATTAATTTTAAAAAAAAAGTGAAAGCTTTAACAAATACGATTTAAAGGAAAAAGAATTATTCGTGGTGAAATTCATTCAAAAATGTGCAATTGCAATTAAAGAGCCCTGACAATTAAAAATTTTGTATTCCTAAAGAAGAAAGCTATAGAAAATAGAATTTATATCTCAGTGCTAAAAAACTATGAAAAAGAATTATTTATAGTGACCAACTAATTACTTCCGGCATAACCTAAAGTAGAAAAAGTAATAAAATAAGATGAAACTGTTAACTTTAACAAATATAAATTAAGCTAATCAAACTTCAACATAAATACTTGCCGTAAGAAATGCAAGTCTTAAATTTCATAATAACTTCTCACAAAGCTGTTTAAGCCTACATAGGAACGAAAGGGAAGATGGATTGGTACCTACTCAAGAAGAACTCATCCTTCACAAAGAGAAACTCGTCCTGACACAAAGCAAGGTCGAAGCAGTCAAGATTGAAGCAGGTGAGGTTGAAGCAATGCACATGAAGCCGAGAGTGTTTCCTTCGCTGCGAGCTGCAGAAGGGTGGCGAAGATTGGAACAAATGTTTTGAACTGACAAAGCCCTAAATTTAATAAGCGCTCTTGACTCTTCCAAACTTAAAAAAATAAAATAAATTTGATTTAGGTAGCGCCTCTGTGGGCTCCAAAAATTTGGCCCCGGCCTCCCCGCCGAAATTTTTGGGCTCCGAAAATTCGGCCCCGGCCTCCGCCCACAATGTATTGTGCTTTTGTCTTTCGGTGAGGGAGTTTTAACGGAATTAAGTTCCAGGGTAAATTTTGGAAGGCAGATGGGTTTGTAGGTAAGACACTAACTAGAGATTTCGCCCTCCTTTTGCGAGGACTTTATCATCAAAGGAAGGACCTGATAGTGACATGAAGCATGCAAAATTGAATGATTCTGTAAAGTCAAATAATGATTAGTTAAAGAGATGTTTCGTCTTATCATCTCTACATAAATACTGAAGACTACATGCAACTGCAAGTGTCTGCAAGTTGCCATAAAAAACCCGTTTATCTGCTGCCAGCGAAAGGCCCCAATGACATCATTAACCACACGAAATTGAATGTCTTTATAAGTTATTATGTAGAATCAAAGAATGAGCAGTTGAAGAAGAAAGGATGTCTTATCCTATCATCTCTTCAGAAAAGCTGGGGTTCCCCAAAATATACTACACCATTCGAGTAAAGATCTGAAGATAAGTCACGCCATTTGAGTAAAGGTCCGGAGATCAAACCCCGCAACTCAATGTTCTATATATGCATAAGAAATACTTAGAACGAGCCTTTCAAGCATGCCGTCATGGAGCCATAAGACAAGCTTCTATACATCATATGCATATCAGATACTATAATGTAACTGAGACATTGAAGATGACCTTGCACTCTGTCTTGTTCATGCCTTAAGAAGGAGAATATCGTGAGGCGAATTGAAGATGCGGAAAGCCAACAGCACATCAGCTGAGCCTGTAGTCTCATCAGATAAGGATACCTCATCTATCACAAAATGACCACATGTGGTCTAGATGTCTTCATCCAATCTAAACAATGATCGATTGATTCGTGAATCCGACCTTCCGAGGAATGAGAAAAGGGAGCCTACATCAGAATAATAAGGTGTCTCATGAAAACCAGATAACAACACAATGATTCACTTGTAAGGAAAAGCAAGGAATCGGTAGTAAGGACCATGGGCTGTTAAAGCGCAACACCATGCCACCGGATCTGTAACACTCGTACAGACAGAAAGAATGCATCAACAAAGCCCGAAATAAAGCCCCGCGCATTCAACAACAATAGTCACCAATACAGTCGGACACCCCTTTCCATTGCATGCAAATATTTTGAAATGCTCTCATACATGCATTACAACATACATTATAGGAAAAAATAAGTATATTATCCAACATTGCATTTACAAGTAGATGCATCATATGTGAATAGCCAAGGGTCTTTCCACATGCATTTGTAGGATGACGAGGATTTAATTCTAGCATGTCCATTTGGCATTGCTATTGCATTTGAAAAAAAGACCTTCAACATGCATTTGTAGGATGTCAAGGATTCCATTCTATCATGTTCATTTGGCATTACTATTGCATTTCAAAATGTCCTCCGATGTATATTTGTATGATGCTAGGAATTTCATTCTAGCATGTCACTCTGACACTACTATTACATTTCAAAATAGCCTCATACATGCTTTTGTAGGATGCTGAGAGTTTCATTCTAGTATATCCAATTGACATTTCTATTGCATTCCAAAATCCGTTCTCCTGCACATACTTGTAATATACAGAAGGTTTCACTCTAGTGTGTCATTCGACACCACAATTGTATTTAAAAAATCAAATCATGCGCACACATGACTATATCGTGCGAAATGCATCCAACGGCATATACCCACGTAGGCCCTAGCGAGCGTGTTGTAGGTATAAACGTGACGTTTGATAATGTCGCGCGGGTTAAGAAATAAATTTAGATTCAAACCTAATTCTTTGCCAACAAGTAGACAGAGTCGACAAGGTTCAATGAACAAAAATTAAAATAACCCATGAACTCCCCGATGATGGCCCGGGATGACGAAATCATGGGAACTTGATCAGGCTCATCATCACTCCCCCCACCTTTTGCTTTAAGTGCAAAATGGTGAACTTTTTAATTTCAAATATTAAAAATTTCAAATACCAATGCTACTATTATATGCCAAATATCATATATCCACGATTACAATGTATCTGATCGACGATTAGCCTTAATCAAAAGTTCTCTCTCATTATCGGGAGGGATAATTAACTATAGGGGCTTACACCTATAGGAAACCAGAACACAAATCATAAATTCATCGCAAAATGAGAGCAAAATCTTTGGGTAGTATCTTATTTCAAACCCAATCTTCCTTATGAAAATTTATCCCGGAACTTAATATGTTAAAACTCCCTTGAAAGAAGAAGAGGCCGAGGCGCGAATTTTCGGAGCCCACAATGATATTGCACAATACTCAAATAATTCTCATCCAACCAACTGACACATTTGACGCAATTGAATATTTACATGTCTCAATAGTATTATGTATATCAAAAAAGAATCAAAATTAGCAATCAAATCCCAAATACATAATCAACAAATTCAAGATTCCAAACAATGTGCAAAAAATTGTTTGATTTAAATAAATAGCATAGAAACAAGT